ATGGAAAACTGGGAGTCACTTATTTATGAAGGATCTCACTATATTAATTTTGAGCATTGCAATAAGGCACTTGGAAGAATGTGATTGTTCATAGTGTGGGAGCAGGGGACAGGAGTGCCGTTCCTTCATTGAGCCTTCTGGCCATTTTTCAAGCACTTTCTCTCTTTCTCTTTTCCGCTTCTTGAGTCCTCCCACCACCCTGTGAAGGAGGAGGGGAGCCAGTCTGTCATTTGTTCAGCAAACTGGAAAGCCTTGTCTGCCTTTTCTGCTGTCTCTTACTTAAAGTTCAGAGTTCCTGGTTTAGAGATGACAGTTCATCAATAAGTTGATTGTCCAGACTTCCAGAATGGCCCATATTGTGTTGGTTGGGTTCAGCAGTTGGGCACTCTGCCCACAAGCAACAAGGCCCATTGTCTCCCTCGCCATGTTTCATGTTGTATAGGAAAACAAGGCCAAACTGTTCAAATAGGAGTTTCCAAAACCAGACATTAAATCTTTCTGAGGTATGATTAGAGTTGCTGGAATTGCTTTCACCGTCATTATTGCACAATAAATGCATATTAGATGTTCGTTTGTTGCTTTGTGATGTGTTGCAAAGCATTTGCACTTCTCCTCTCCAGGTTTGCCCCTTTGTTGCAAGATTCTCACATTTTCCTCGGAGCACCTAAACTGCAGAATTCTGTACCTTGGACAAATGCTATGCTTTCCACAGATTCTTGGCTGTTGAAACTGACAAGGCTATTTTTTTTTTTATTTTTTTTGGATGGATGCTTTGAGTTTGGAAAGTCCCTTGTGCGGGTGGAGGGGGAGGAAGGAATTCTGTGTGCTCTCCTGCAGATGTCCTGTGAACAATAGATACTGTCTTCCTCATCCATTCTAGTTGGCTTGGCTTGTCTAGTTTGCACAGGGCAAGCAAGAGGCATTATCACACTGCAAGGACATATTGCAGCTAGGCAAAAGCACCCAAGGAGTGTTGATGAGGGGTGTGGGCTGAGGACCAGATGGAAGCCCATGGAAGCATTTGGTCTGAGGGTCCACATCCATGTACTAGAGCCTAGTGGGCAACCATAAACGGTTGGGAGAACTTGGTTAAGTTTGGGTGTTCTGGACTGGGCCAGGTTATTGAGGGTATTTCAGTTGTCATCTTGGTTGAAATCTTACTACTTTTCAATAACTCACCTAAACCTTGCTTTCATGTTCCCCTGTTCATGGGTTCAATCAGTGCATGGAAAGGAGTGGTATTTTGGCCACTGGCCCCACCCCTCAGCCTTGATGTGCCTGTCAGTCCCAACCTCCGCATATCATATGGAATGTAAGAACAGGAGTGAAGCACATAGAACTGTACATGCCTAAGACCTGTATGTGTTTGGGAACCCTGGCATAACCATAGTTCCTGGCTGAAGACCTGGGAGCGCACACGTAGGGTCCATGAGCCTGCTCCCCTCTGTGCATGCGGAGTTGACCGTTGGGTTCCACAGGCATAGCCTAGAGCAGGTGGGGAACATTCGGTCCATGGGTCCACAGTGTTACCTCTGGTCTTTCAATAAATTCAGCCAGCTCTGAAGTCTCTGGAAAGCAGTGCTGAAGCACAAGCACACATCCCACAAGTACTGTTAGGCAGATGTGTCGGTGTGTGTGTGTGAGAGAGGAGAATGTGTTCAGAGACAGGTAGAGTTGGCTCAAGTCTGTGGTCACTGTGCAGTGAAGCTTTGGCAGAGGTTTCAGGGAGAGGAGTAGACAGCCCAAAGGGAGGCCAGTTGGCCAACATTGAATCATGTGGACCAGAGTAGGGAGGAATGCTTAGAAGGCTTCTCAAATAGGCTTTGAAAATGCCCTTGAGAGCTGTTTCTGTCTTGCTCACCTGACAAGGCTGGATCAGGCCCCGAGTATTGTGTTTTCTGTGGGCCAGGGGCCCCTAATGGAGGGAAAAAAAACTCCTTTCACCACCAAATGCACGTGATACAACAACATTGGTAAACGTAAGTTGACTGGGATCTGGTGATGATCTGAATGCAGGGCCATATCAAGGAATCCCATGAATTCCTTGGGAAAAGGTGAGATATAAAATGTAATAAATAAATAAATAAATAACTTCCTTTTATATAAAAAAGAAACTGGGTAGAGAAGTATCTACATTATTTAGCATTGCCAGTTCAGTCTTGTCACTGCAGATTTCTGCATCATAATCTTCTGTGAACTGCCTTGAAATCTTTGGATGAAGGCTGGTATGCAAATTAAACAAACAAACAAACAAACAAACAAACAAACAAAAACCGGATTATCCAAAGTTCCAGTAAACCATGTTTTATTGAGTCTTTCTCATTCTATCTGTGCTTCCTGGTTTATATTGTCAGTGTTGAGTTTTCAGCAGGTTCTTCTAATCTCAGCTGGTTACATATAGTGAAGATACCAGGTAGCCTGACATCTGGCTGGTTGATAGGGGATCAGTTACTTATTTCACTCATTGTAATTCACATCAATCTCTGACTTTTGTCTTCTGGGTTTCTGGGGGCTTTCCTGTTGTTACTCTGTCTCTCACAGCTACAATAAACCTACCATTAAAATTATGGACTGGTCATTTCTTCGTCAGAGGGCAAACGGGCAAATTTAGCAGGGGATCAAATACTCCCCCCCCCTCACTGTATAATTTGCAGTGCAAGATCTCACAACCTCATGCCACATTAGACAAATATACTTGGGGAAAAGCCTAGATGTTGTTTCTCTGTGAAAAAAATTGTAACTGGTGACTAAAAGTGCACATCCGTTTAAGACTGCACCCGCAGAGGTAGAGTAGAGTTCATTTGCCGCATGTTTTTTTAAAAAGATAATTTTGTGCTAAAAATGTCAATTGGTGACTAATAGTGTGCATTTTTTAAAAGACCACAGGAACGGAATAATACTCATTTTCCAGATCATTCTTATTTAATAGCCACATGGCCAGAAATTAGAAACAAAATGGGAAATGGCTGTTTCCACCTTAATTGCCTTCTATAGCGACCTACTGTATTTCACAAATTAAAAAGATAAAACAAGTTTAAGATCAGTGCTCCTTCCCCACCCCCGCCCCACCCCAAAAATTCAACACATCTTGTGAAATACGCCTCTGATTTTGCTTAAGTTGAATTCACTGGCGACTGGTGCAGACCAAGGAGCATAACGATCCCTCTCCTTCTGCTGTGGATAATTCACCATTGTCTTAATTCTTCTCTGGGGTCTCAGGCGAGTGGGTAGCACCAGAGGGCCTACTTTTCTGAATCAGTGCATGTTTTGTTCCCTTTGGAAGATCCGTTGTCCTCCTAAAAGTCATCCAGCTGCTTCGGCAGCCCCTACCAACACATCTGTTTCTTTTCACAGTTGGAGAGAATAGCTTTCTCCTTCTGTCATCACAAATCTACTTTCCCTTTCCCTACAGCAGCAGCCGACCCCTGTAAGCCTTGGAATGTGCCTGGCAGGATGGGCTGGAAAATCCACAAAAAGCCAGCAGCACCCACCATTCAGCAACTTGAATGCTTACTCTAAACCGGCACCGAATGATCAGCTGGTCTGTTGATTTTTCTGTAGCAGACAAAGAACGGAGTCGTTGCAAGTCAAGTGCCTTCTGCCAAGGCAGTCTGCTAGGGAAATGAATGGTGCCAGCTCAGAAAGTTTTAGACAGATGTTTGGAAGAGGAGGGGAGGAAGAGATGGAAAGGAGGGTCTGGGAAAATCTCCCCTTCAGGTTCATTGGGCTAGATTTGTGTATGCAGAGAAATGTTCTTGCTTCTTCATAGCTCCGTTTGAAGAACACTGACCTGGGTCAACTATTAGAAGTCATTCTTTCCATAAGGTGTTCATCTCTCCTTACAAATAAATGTTGCATTGTTTTGTGGGAAAGGATGGTGCTTTGGGGGGAATCAAATTTGTTAAATCATGCAAGTGTTCCAGAGATCTGTTTCACTCACAGCTGTCTAAATTGTCCCAGCTAATATTATTAGGGCCTTGTCTCTCATGTTGCCATCTTCCCTGTGTCAGGGTTTGAGCATCGTTATAAAGGTGATGAAACGGAATACAAATAGCAAAGGACTGGCTTGTGGATTATAGTGTAGCATTTTGAATGCGTTATGTTCAATCCAATCTCTGTTATTGTTAGTAGCATATCCAATGGGAGTAAGAAAAGAAAAGGTTTGCACCAAGTGTTGAACAAGAGAAATTTCACATCTTACATTTCACATATTTTGTAATATGTCATTTTTATGTGTGCGCATACTGAAAAGATTGTTAATGTTGGTTGAGATTCCAGCATTCAAAAAGAAAAGTCTGAAGCATCTCCTGCAAGATTAAGATAGTCCAGCAACTCTTAGTATAGAGAGTCAAAAATTTGGTCCAAAAGTATCTTTTGCATGTATTTATTTAACAAAATGTATATACTTCTTTATTGAGAGAAAACCTCTAAGTGGTTTATGAAAACATAAAACATTAAAATTCTGAATAAAAGTTAAAAGCAGGTATTTAAAAATGTTCAAAAGGGGATTGAAATCAACAGTAGTAAAAAAGAGGTAAAACACGTGTAACTTCTATGCGTCTGGATACTTTTGCCTCAGTAAAAATGTTTTAAGCAGGCACTTCAAAGAATACAGTGAAGGCACTTGCCTGATGTTAGGAGGCAGAGAGTTCCAAAGGAAAAGTGTTGCCACACTAAAAGATCCATTTCTCGTAAGTGTGGAGTCTCCTTTAACAGTGCCCTTTCCATTCATCCAAGCAATTGAGTAGACATATAAGGGGTAAGGCGATCTTGCAGATAAACTGGTCCCAAGCTGTTATATTTTGCATTTAATGCATGAGATGTAAGGTAAAATGGATAGTGGAAAATGGGCTGGTTTTAAAGGTATAGGTTTTGGTTTAAAATGCAAATTGATTCAAGAAATGTTGGGTTCTTCAAGGATCACTATAAACCCCTTTTATATATTTAACCACTGTACAGGGCTTAATAGCATTTGCAAATCTGTTTTATGTCTACTTCAGCTCTGGAGCAACTGCTTACAGAACTTGAAGATTTTCTGAAGATACTGGACAAGGAGAACCTCAGCAGCACCGCCGTTGTGAAAAAGAGCTTCCTCGCTGACCTCCTCAGGTTGTGCACGAAATCAAGTGGTAAGCACAGTTGTGTAAAAGAGCACTAATTTCAGAAGAGCTTCTCAGAGCTATCATTTGCTGACATTGCTATCATTTGCTATCATTTGCTGATACCGATACTGGTCTACTTTTGCAACTACGGCCTCCCCAATTGCATGTAGAAACTGCCAACAGTCTTTTGTTAAAGGGAAAGTTACTTATTGTGTCACAATCTCCCCCAAACTGAAGTCTACTTTTTGCACAGAGTTAGCCCTGGGTAGCAGGAATATATGTGCAGTGCATACATTTGTACAGGGGTCAGCAAACTTTTTCAGCAGGGGGCTGGTCCACTGTCCCTCAGACCTTGTGGAGGGCTGGACTAGATTTTGGGAAAAAAATATTGAACAAGTTGCTATGCCCCACAAATAACCCAGAGATGCAGTTTAAATAAAAGGACACATTCTACTCATGTAAAAACAGACTGATTCCTGGACCGTCCATGGGCCGGATTTAGAAGGCGATTGGGCCGGATCCGGCCCCTGAGCCTTAGTTTGCCTACCCATGCATTTGTACATGCACACACGCACAAATGGGTACACAGAAAACGTGTTCCAAAAGTCCAGTACGTTCAGTGTGTGCTGGTTGTTCTGTCAAATTGCTATGCAGTACCCAAATGTACATCAGAAAAGAAGTGAATATAAAAGCCCTTGAAGCAAGCTAATCTCATTTCGTATAATTATATAATTGTAGAGGTGGAAGGGACCCTGAGGACCATCTAGTCCAGCCCCCTGCAATGTAGGAATATGCAGTTGTCTCTTAGGGGGATCGAACCTGTGACCTTGGTCTTATCAGCATGATGCTCTAGCCAACTGAGCTGTTGTTCCATTTGCTCTTAATCTCAATGTATTTTTAAATTCATTCAAGATTTCCTGAATCATCTAATTTGCAATAATGATAAGAAGATAAACTTTGAAAGGGCTGAGTCTCTCTAAGAAACTTCCACCGCCAGGGGTGGCAAGTGCAACCAGCTTCTTAGCTGCAATCAAGATAAACTGTGCAAGAGCAATGTCAGTTAAAGGTGCCACTGAGCTAAGTCATTAGAATAAGCCTCCTTTGATCATAATATTTTTTTAAACATAAATAAATAGATGGACAGATATCCATTCTGACCAAGCAAATGGTTTAAAAATTCCTCCAGGAGCTGCTTTGCTCGAGATGCATGGTTTTCTATACAGTGCAAGTATACGCAAGAGAATAATGAGCTTACATTCTTTGCCTCATAGGTGGTGATGAGGAATACATTTACATGAACAAAGTCACCATCAGTAAGCAACACGGTGAACCAGAGAAACCAGACAAAGGTAGGAATGTAAGATTGCCTTATACAGAGTCAGACCATTGGTCCATCTAGGTCAGTGTAGTATTGCCTACACAGCCTGGCATTGGCCCTGCAAGATTTCAGAGAGGGGTTTCTCAAAGCCCTACCTGAACATGCTGGGAATCGAACAGGGGCCTGCTGCATGCAAGGCACATCATCTACCACTGCGCTATGGCCCTTCCCTATTTTGCTGCTGAATGTGCTGCTTATTCATGAAAGGATCACATGTATTGTTTTTTAAAAAAACACCATCCAACTCACAGTACCAATTCACTGTTAAGTCTGTGCTTCTTCTACCCATCTTCCAGATAGACATGATAAACTCTCCCCATGTTCACTGATCCATTTTAACTTTAGCAGCAACCCTCCCTGGGTTTGACATGCAGATATAGATGGAGAAACGCAGGACGCAGAGCTGCTTTCAGGTGCCTCTTAATTAAGATGTGTAGAAACAAAGATCAGGAAATCTGAGAAGCCAAGGGAAGGGAGGCAGATGTCCAATTTACTTGGCTAATAACATCACTGGGTGCTCTGGATTTTGCTTTGCTGCTCGCAGCCTTACACCAGAACCCTATTACCCCCATGACAGGATGTGGATGTGCAGCTGTTATTGTGGCTTCCCAGCTAGTCTGAAAAAAAAACCAGTGCTTCTAATATCTTATATTGTATTTTTATGCAGCAAAATTCATGCCCGTCTTTCCAGGGCTGGTTTCTGTGCTTCCAGGTTTGTTAGGGCTGTTTGGGGGAATCATAGGGCCACTTCAGACATGCAATTGCTACTTCTATGATGCAATCTCCATATGTGCATGGACGAGAATGTGCATCTATCTCCACCACCATATTTGAAGATGGCAGTGAGGGGAGGGAGAGAATGGCTGGTGTAGAAAGGCGCCACTGTGCTTTACAGGCAGAGGTGAGGTGGCAGGGAGATCAGCATTGTGCAGGTCTAGTGGCAGGACCAGTAGGGCCCTCCAGCCACTGCTCCATCACAGCAGTGATCTCCCTGATGTGTCCCTCTTCTCCCTCCCAGTAAGCACAGTGACACCACTAAGGGGGAGCCCTGCTGCATGACAGTGTCCTCTCCACCAGCTACCCCTGGATGGCAGGACTGTTTATGTTGCCTAGGATTACCTATGTTCAAAAGCCCCCTGCAGCCATTCTGAAGTCTGTAGGTCACTGCCTTTCCATATGTGCTTCTGTGTGAAATCTTTAAGCAAGAGTCATGTGGTTTTAAGCAGCTGCTGTGTGATTAGCAGTCGTCTGTTTCCACTCATAGTCAGGCCTTCAGAGGAGAAGTGAGCTTCTTCCCTTCAGTTGCCAACATAGCCAGGGCCCTGTACTACCTTTCCACACCTCCCTAGGTTGTTAATACTCCATGGATCCCAGGATTATGGAGGCAGCACTTCACCTGCCAACTAGCTGAAAATTGGCTGGAAGTATTTCCCCACCTGCTGAGATTGCAGCTCTTTCTCAGTGTGAGTTCTGTTTGCTTGGATTTAGGAAAAGACTGAGTTGCCCCTGCAAGTTAAAACCAACAGTAATGACAGGGTGAATACTTAGGACTGCTCAATATAGACGTCAGCCTTGCCCTGCAAGTAGACAGATTATTTTTAAGACATCTTGGTCTTTGCAGTGTCAAGCAAATATGTGCCAGCAAACCCACAACTAGCAAGAGAGCGTGTCCCTAGCCGCTTTTTCGCCATATTCTTGGAGGTGGTATCAAATGCCATTTTTGTGGTCTGTAATATGCTCTCTAATTTAATGCAATGCTTCCTCCAAAACAAAAGGCATAGCATCCAAGAATGTTTCTGAGCTTGGTCTATGTGATGGACTGTTTGCATGATGTTATTTCTGTTTGGGCTGCAGTGTTGGGTTGCAGAGACTCCTTGACCAATGGGGAAGTGGAACAGCATTTGTCTCCACCTCAGAAGAGTTTGCCAGACCTCCCACCTTCAAAAATAGTAAGTTCTTGTTTGTTCATTTACTTCCTTTCAACGTACTCTGCATAACAATAATGCAAGTGCCATTCATCTTCTGGGATAGAATTTAGTGCCCTTTGGAGTGAGTTGTAATGTAAGATACAGAGGTCTGAAAAAATCCTAGAGCTGCCTTTTCTCTCTCAAATGATACATCAATATTTATTAAACATTTATAGAGCACTTACAGCATTATGAGCACTGACAACTCTCTCACACACACATGTCAATATCTCTGCAATACGGTTTCCTCCATTGGTCTTGCTTCATCTTCAAAAATTGCATGATGATGTGGTTTAATGTCAACTGCAGACCCAAGATGTCAACCCAGAACCAGAGCCTGGTTTGTAGTAGGATTAAACCAGTTTTGCAGTTCAGACACAACAGGAAACTGTAGTTTAACAACCCATTTCTAATTCAAGTCTATTAACTTCAGTGGTTCAGCTCTGAATAGAACTCACATTGGATGCAACCTTCTGTGTCTCTGGAAGAAAAGAATGAATGACACTTTTAACTCATTAAAGCAGCCTTCCTCATAGGTTGGATTACTCCTATGAGCACGGTTGTGCTGACTGGGACTGGTGGGAGTTGTAATCCCAAACATCCAAAGGGCACCAGGTTGGGACCAGATGCATCTATCGCACCTCCTAGTCCATTGTTAGAAAGAAACAATGACCACTAGTCACTTTCTTCTCCTCTCATCCAAAACTTCATTTTGCTGTATAGGAAAATATTGCAGTTTATTTCATAAAAATAGGCAGAACTTGATGTTTTAATCTTTCTACAAAGTATGATGTTACTTGGCTTCAGTGCCGGCATGCAATAGCTGCAACTCAGGGACGTGTTTCCTGCCTGGCCCCCATCGAGAAATTGGCTTTATTTTCCAGTTTGGATTTTAAGCACTTAAATCTTTAACCAGGTTCCAAAATGTTCACCATTATTGCTGAAAAGAAAAAAAGAGCTGATCTTTATGCTATTGGGTATTACTTTCCATTTTACCATTTTGCAAAGGTGAGTAAATATTTTGCCAAGTTACCAATGGAGACAAGTTACTCAAGAGTGCTGTGCTTATATTGAATCACACATCTGCCATTCTGTATACTCAAGTGAGCAGGTTCACTATATACTTCTATCTGCTGGCAATTGGAAGAGGGGTGTGTGTGTGTGTGTGTGTGTGGGTGGGTGTGGGTGTGTTTGTCTTCTTGGAGAATCTTGTGATTATCTTGAGCTGCATCATCTTTGCAATGGTGTTGTAAGATGAAACGTCAGCAACAAATGAGATTCATTGGTGAAGATTCATTTTTAAATGGTTTGAATCATTTAAGATTTAAAATATTAAAAGCTGTCCCAACACTGGTGGAACCAAGTGTAGTGAACTCTGTTTCAAAAGCATCAGATCTTCTTTAAGTGGGGATTTTCTTCCAAAATAAAGTGCATCTGTCTCATGCTATGAAGCCATCACGGACTGGGAAAAGGGCAGATCAATAGAAGATGCTGAGGGATACCCTCAAATACATACTTGTCACGTCATCAGTCATGGTTCTCTCTGTAGATGTGAGGACAAATTCCATCTGCACCAAATTCATAGTATTCATATTATCGCTACTAGCAATTACATGCCACAGAAAAGCTGCCATTTATATCTTTGTTCCTGGTGCTAACTAGGAATGGGTAATGCCTAGCCCTGCAGGCTAGACAAAGCTGCAGCTGTAGACAGGGTGGCACATGCAAGGTGCTGGGGTCCTGCCTGTTTCGAAAGGAATATGCAAATTAAATTGGCAATGCTAGTGCACGGAGATTCTTACACAACTTGTCTAGGTAGGAACACATACACAACTCTGCCTGTGGAGGAGCAGAAAATGAGGTGCATTCGGGAATCTGGAGTTGGGACCCCTAAAAAGTTCATGGAAGTTTCCCTCTCTAGGCAGTTTATCCTGAAAATATTTAGCTTGTCCTTTGGGATGCTTTCCAAAGTATTTTGTGTCTTGATTTCTTCCCTCAGCTTTGGGCTGCACATTAGGATAGATTTGGCAGCCATCCAGGGACTTTCCAATGCTTAGAATCTTTTGAAAGTGTTGGTTTACTCCAATATTATTTATCTATTTCCTTTTTCACTTATACTGGCTTTGAAAATGTCTGGTGTACTTCTAAACTTGACTCCCATCACCATCAAAATTACTCTTGCAAAGGGAAAACTCAAATGCAATTCTCCAGTTATAAGATCAGCTTTAAATAAGAAACAAGGGATGGCTCTATTCTGCCTACTTATTGTATGCTATCCATTTAGTGTTCCATGGTTAGGTCTCTGCTTGGTTTCCTTAAGTGTGGCTTATTGTGGTTTCAGCAAAACTTAAGAGGACCACAACAATTTAATAATTTTTGGTCTGATTCAGCAAGGCATTTCTTAACTATAGGCGAAATAATATGGTACACACACAGATTAAATTTTGAAGCAGGGATTTTGCCAGTATGATGATATTTTTAATGGAAGCCATCTAGAGGATGCTATGAGCAGTGCCTATTTCACTAGCTGTGGAACGTGACAGTGTGGAGCAGTGATTAGACCTTGGATTGCCAAACTTTTTTGGGCTTGTGGGCATCTTGGGAAACCGGAGAAACTGTTCTGGCGACTGCACAGCACAACCCACAACCACACACACCATAACCATGCATGCACACCCTGCACCACATATTCCTTAGGCACACCACATAACCATGGATTTCACACACACAGAGGACTAGAATGATGTGGGGTGCCTTTGCTAGACCTAGGTACTTCATCTTCCGCATCTGGATTTGAGCCTGAAGGACCAAGGAAATGTGTGTGTGCATGGAGAGTATGTTGTAAGCAAGCACAATTTGTGACACTGTTCACTGGGCACAACTGTTAAGGCCTCAGCATTAGCTTCCGGTTTTCCAGCTTTGTGGAATTTGAACCTTGCTCTCAATTCTTCCTTATTCTGAATTACAGATACCATAGTGAAAATTTATTTCAGAACTCTGGGTCTTTATCTACACATTTCCTAGCTATTGTTTGCATTCCTCAGATTTCAGAAGCAAAGCAACATTCAGGATCCAAAACTGAGTCTCCAGAAGGATACTATGAAGAAGCTGAGCCCTTTGGTGTCTCACTGATTGGTACGTAGGTGTGCTCCCAAGTATTTCATTACTTCTAGAAATAGGCAATGCAACTGCGTTGGAAAATAAATAAGTAAAGCACTCAGATACAAATATTGGAAATGTGATCTATAATCTGTATGTTTAGTGTTTGTCACATTGTCAGTTTAATACCAGAGAATTTAAAGGGATATTCTTGCATCCAAAGATTTTTAAGAGATTGCTGACAAGTGAAGATGTTGAGTTCATTCAGAGCTGAACATGGTCACTGATGCTACATTTTCAGCCTGATCTCCACACCAAAACTGCCCTTGGCTGAATAAGGTTTACTGACTGAATAAGGGCTCAGTGAGAAAGGTAAGGATTGTAGTGTCTTTGTAAAAGTGAATAGCAACCGTCTTGCTTTCTGTTGCTGATAATGAACAAGCATGTTCTAGAGAAGTTCTAGGCTCCAGTCTCTGGAAGAGCAGACTGAATTTATTTGGCCAGCTTTCCTTTTCCTCCCCCCCCCCCTTTTGCACGTACATTACTCTGTAGCACCTAGGATGGACATCATGATTAATCATAAGTTACCATACCAAAGAGAACGTAAGAGGATCGTTGAAGTTCTCACACTGCAATCCTAGGCATATCTCTTGAGATTAGTAGGCTTTATTTTGGAGTAAACCCAGATATGCTTAGGCTGTGACCATTACCAGTTTCTGTGCTTATTCATTTCAGACACAAAATCTCCTCATGCACACAGCACTCTTATAATATGTGTGGAATAATAGTGAATCCCAACTGTGGTATGTGATGTATTAAGGAATGATTTATGACTGGAGTAAATGGAGAACATTTCTACATCAGTACAACAATGCAGTGGTGACCCATATATAAGAAGAGTTTGCTGGATCAGGCCAATGGCCCATCTAGTCTGCTCTCACAGTGGCCACCCCCAATGCCTCTGGGAAACCCTCCGCAAGAGCACTCTCCCCTCCTTTTCTTTTTTTTTCCAATTTAATTTTTATTGATTTTAACTATTGAATCCATTCACCGCAAAAAGAACAAAAGAAAAAACAAATCACATCAAATACAAATAAACTGTGACATATACAGTGGTACCTCTGGTTACATACTTAATTAGTTCCAGAGATTAGTTCTTAACCTGAAACCGTTCTTAACCTGAGGTACCACTTTAGCTAATGGGGCCTTCCACTGCCGCCATGCTGCTGGCGCGCAATTTGTGTTCTCATCCTGAGGTAAAGTTCATAACCTGAGGTACTATTTCTTGGTGAGCAGAGTCTGTAACCCAAAGTGTTTGTAACCCGAAGGGTTTGTAACCAGAGGTACCACTATAAAAGAAAGTTCTCTCATACGTTAAGACTTCCGTCTTCCTCAGTATGGGTCCTTCATTTCCTTGTTGACTGCATATTGTAGTGCACTCTCCCCTCCTGTGGTTTCCAGGAACTGGTATTTACTACCTTTGGCATTGTCATGAGCTGTAAAATAATTGAATAGTTTATTTTTTAAATATATATATATAATGGAACTGAGTGGTACCACAAAGGCTGAACACTGAATTGTAATTATTCAAACTGAATTTGCAAGTGTTTTTATTTATGGTGCTTATCACCATAGTTTTTGGCAAAAGAGACTGTTCTAAGCAGACTGTTTCTAATTATTCCATAGTTCATCATATAAATTATGCTTTCTCCTTCTAAAAGAATTTAATGATCATTGAGGTTCATTTGCAGGTCTTTTTCTTTCTTCCTCTCTCTCCCTCTCTTTCTTTTCCATGTGTGCTTGTGCAGGTCTTTACGGTAGGCTTGCAGCTACTGGATCCAGACCAGGGTTGCAGGTTACTGAGGGAGTAATATATGCCACAATAACTATGGGTATGGCATGTTTTCAAAACTTACCACTCATGCATTGACTTCCTTGTCATATGAACAAAGATGGTCTTTCACCATTGAGACATGGCTAAAGGATCACCGCATGATCACATTCTCATCCTGAATGCATATGTGTGGCAAGGGGTGATAAAGGATTGGAAAGTTGCTGTCTATTCTTTGGCGATCTCTTAGCCAGGCATGATCTCTTAGCAGGCAGCTACAGAACTGTAGATGTTGCTAGCCAATCTTACCTGTGGAAGCAGAAGTCTTACTATTCCAAAATGCTTTTGTCATTTCCATGCACTTCAACTTCAGTGGACTTCAGGGCAGGACATAAGCAGACAAATATTCTTGCTTGGTAATAAGCAACACAGAAGCCAGGGATGAAATGAGAGATATTAATTTAGAGAACAAATGCGACCGTTAAAAAAACAAAAAACAAAACAAAGCGAGTGGAATGGTGCTGGAGCTATAGGCTGATGAGACACCCCAGCCCATCAGAATTAAATGCTGAATACAGAGAGACAGAGACACAAAGACAGGCAGGCAGAGAGAGATATCACTGTTTTACAATGAGGGTGATGTAACAGTTTATCACAGAGAAAGAAAAGGGGATTGAGATGTGTTAATTAGGTTCTTTTTTGGAATTTCTTTCTGGTTTCTGGTACAGAAGGAGCAGATCCACATATTGAATGAGCCGAAGTTTGGTTTCAGGAAGCCATGATTATCTTGTGCCTAGGCCAGAGTCTGGAAGAGCACAAAAGATGCTGGCTAAGCATCCTTGATTACATGGATCGTTCTTCCTACCATACAAATGAGATTAAACACAGCAACGAGCCCTATATCTTGCTTTGGAGATAGGTGACTCAGCTGCCAGTTCTCCGATAGCATCACCTGAATGAGTAAATTCAGGTTACTCCATAATCCAATTAAAAACAAGAGAAAAAAACCTAGATAATTACCTCTGTGACCCATTCAAGCCTGTGCTGGAACAACACAGACTTTTTACCTAATTGGGAATGGAATATCTTACTACTTTAATACTTTTCTATTTGGGGGTACCTTTTTGATGTTTCTCGCTCAAAGTGTCTCTGCTTTCTAATCTGATCTTCTTTTGGCCAATATTGTTTCCTTTCCCCTTCTCCTAATAGCATTTCTCCTGAGTGCTGAAGACATGGTGCTTTGGGGAGATGCAGAAAAGTCTGGGATTTGTCAATGATCTGCAGGGATCTTAGAAACCGCTCTGTTCTCTGTGCCTTTATATTATGAATCATTTCCATTCTGTGATCAAGTTATCTCAATACTGTGGAATTGCCTATATCTCATTTAACTTCCCCTATATTGCTTTGGAATGCCTTTATAATGTAGTGAAACTTTCTTATTGCCTCTAAATTTGCTGGATTGGAGGGAGGGCACTAGATTTAGATGCCTTAAGCAGCTTATGCAAGCAGCTTTATATTACTTCTGCTGAGTAGCCTCATTGTAACTGTTTCAACTATTCGTGTACTCAATTTTATATAATTTACAGCTTTATAACTTCTATATCAATTTTTAATTTGCTGTCTATTTTGTATCATGGTTTCCACTGTTTTAAACAAATATTTACATTTTTTGCCATTTGTCAGTTGTTTGAAATTAAATTTCAAATTAAGTTTCTTTCGGCGTGGTTCTGCCCATTGGTCATTCTCCATATGCTGACTGGAGTGAGCATATGTATGAATTTTGGACCTGTTTTTTAGAATGTTGCTACAAACTGTTATCTGCCTGATATTTAGGGAGCAGCAACTAACATTTGGCAGATAACAGCTTGCACACCCTCCACAGTCCTATGCTTTTTCAGCTGGGTGTATAAAACCTACAGAAAACATTTGATAGCACTTGAGGAATGTGTCTGTAGTTGGAGACTGAGCTGGGTGTGTCTGTACCAAAGTTGTAAAATGAAAGTCTTTGGTGGCCACATCCTTGCAACCTCAAACAATTTGTATGATTGTGAGATTACCTTGCAGCACTGCTGCTTGGCTTTTATTAATTAGCCAGGCAAAATATTCCCAGCAAAATGTGCTGAATGTACAAATATTTACATTTGCAAATATACATTCCATCCAATGTATTTGCTGCATCTGGAAAGCTGAGCAGAACTGAAATGTATTAACAGAGCATTTAACCTTTTTTGGGGAATACCATTCAAGCATTTCACCTTTCAGGAGAAGTTAATCATTGCAGCTTCATATATTCAAATCAAAATTTTATATGATTCCTGCATCGTTTGATATGACCACTGCAGGGCCGGCCCTCCCATTAGGCAAAGTAAAACAACTGCCTCAGGAGGCAGATGCTGGGGAGCCATCCCTTGGCTGTTCCCATCTTTGGAACACAGAGCTGTGTGTGCCACAGGGCCTGTGCTGCACCCTCAGACTAACTTGCTGTTCTCCAGGGCAGAGAGGGTGCTAACCAATCCACCATAGTGAAGAAAAGTTCAACTGTCTGTCAAGTTGGCTCCTGTTCATGGAATGGCAGGAAGGCACCATCTTGTCCTTCACCTCAGACAGCAAAATGTTTGGGGCTGGCTCTGGATGGCTTTTTTGAGATCTGATTCTGGCTTGCATATGATGATCTTAGTGTGTGGGAGACAGACAGAAGATGAAGGAAAATGGCCTTTTCAATGGAGCAGGTCTGATTGTTTAAACTTTGCAGGCCTTTAGACCTCCTTGCCTTTTACTTTTGTGTCTCTTTCATGCATGCTGTAATTGTTCTCCAGCTTGCCTAATGGAACATGGAAGAAACACATGGCTTTGTCACCCGGAAGTGCTTATAATGATTTTTTTTTTTGCCCCCATGGATGCAGATGATGGGGAAGCAGTCAGCAGCTCCTATGAATCCTATGATGAAGAAGAGAGCAGCAAAGGCAAGTCAGCCCCTCACCAGTGGCCTTCCCCTGAAGCTTCCATTGAACTCATGAAAGATGCCCGGATCTGTGCTTTCCTTTGGAGAAAAAAATGGCTGGGCCAGTGGGCCAAGCAGCTCTGCGTCATTAAGGACAACAGATTGTTGGTAAGCAAGCAGGAAACAGGGTGTCTAATACACCTTTTCTCAAAGCCAGAGCAATTCCTAAGAGCTCCATCTAGATGTTCCTCAAAGCCCAAGAAGAACCCTGCTGGGTAAGACTATCTGGGTCTATCTTGTTCAAAATCCCAGATCCCTATGGGAAGCCCACAAGCAGGACATGACTCTGGGTTGTACTGTCTGCTCCCCTCTTTACTTTCAGTTGATGAATTAAGACTTGTCTTACATGCATGGTGTTAGTTGCTTAGTTTGTTACATTTGCATTGCTCCCGTCCTCCCAAAGGACTAACATCAAAGACTAGGATCAATATTCACCATTGCTGCTGCTGATAAGTGTTAATGTGATCAAGTTGCTATTATTGGCAGCAGTGTGGGAGAGATTCTGTGACTGGTGGTTCTTGCAGAGCAGGCATTTGGAAAAGGGGAACGGCACAGGAGGGAGCATCCTGGAGCTCTGCCAGTTGGAGAGGTTCATAACGAGTAATGGGAAGCTGCCACAGGGGGCAGAGTAGATGCAGCCTTGGACTATTCCCTTAGGGTATGGGTGGGTGAAGGTGTGTCTGGATGGGAGAGGTGTATGACTGGTATGAAGATCTGCTGGGACTATAGGTTTGCCATTTCCAGGAGTTCCAGCTGCCCATCTCCAATGCCTGCTATTAACATCTGCACTGCAGAAAGTACCTACTCTATGAATGTTTCAGAGTGCAAGCAAGGGAAAACCCAATGCTGTTCCCTTTCTGCTGTTAGTATTATGGCTGTATAACAGGACTTAAAGTTTGGGAATGTCCCCACTATTCCCGTTTTGTGGGATTCAGGGAATTTTACTTAGTAATTCCTTCGCTATTTTTTTAAATCTTCTCTGTACCACTGCTACTGACTGCTGTTTGTTCACCCACATGAAACATCTGGGCATTAACTATGAAAATGGGTAGAAGTCTTCCTCTCTGTGCTAGATTGATATCTTGGATTTCTTCTCTGTAGTCCCCATCCATTCTAAATTCTTCCATATATAGTCTTAGCCTTCACCAGCCTGACACCCTCTAGATTTTGCCAGGCTCCAGCTAACACAGCACTGCTGATCATGCTGGAGTCCAGCAATATCTGGAGGTTGTCTGGTAATAATAATAATAATAATAATAATAATAATAATAATAATAATAATAATAATAATTTATTATTTGTACCCTGCCCATCTGGCAGAAAGGGAACCCACTCTGGGCGGCTTCCAAAAAAAATATTAAAATACTCTAATACAGTGACAGCTGAAACATATATAATTATGTATCTATTCAGAAACCTTAGGATTTGGGGCTCACAATTATTTACTACTATGAACTATTCCAATCTATATTTCAATGCCAAGTTTCTGTCCTTTCTTAGATATTTTACCAGTAGGCAACGACTCTTGTTTATTCTCCATTAAACCACCTGACTCCTCCTATTTCCAGTGCTACAAGTCTTCCAAGGACCAAAATCCCCAGCTGGATGTTAATTTGTTGGGGTGCAGCGTCATCCACAAGGAAAAGAACGTGAGGAAGCAGGAACATAAGCTGAAGATCATCCCCATGAACTCAGATGTCATTGTGCTGGGCTTGCAGAGTAAAGACCAGGCAGAGCAGTGGCTCAGGGTGAGTGGACCAATCTCTCCTGACAACTTCTGCCATTGTCCCCAGGCTGTGTGGATTTAATGTGCCCACTGTCATACCATGCTAGCACAGAATTCAAGATCTGGCCCAGAATTTAACTACTTGAGATTTCGAGACCCTGCAGAGCTGCTGCTGTTCAGAGCAGAGAGTATTGAACTCAATGGACAAAGAGCCTGACTGACCTGGTACAAGGCAGCTTCCTAGATTCCTGTCTACACAGGATTATGCTAAAGGATATTTCTCAGGATGTCATGGTGTTGCTGCCATCTCTAGGTTACATCCAAATGCAGCTGTTACACAAGTGCAAGGAGGCCTTTATTCTGAGAAGGATCCTTTCCGTTTGAGCACAACTGAGAAAATCCCTTTCCCCCTTTGCACGTAGGAGGGGGAAGGGGAACTTTCTAATCCAACCCTTTCCAGCAGTAATGAAGGGAGTCTTTCTTCAGTAAGAGCTCAGCTCCTTCCTCAGATGGAACTCCATTGTAGAAAAGAGAAGAAGTGCCCAACCTCCTTTTGATTATTTTCTTGGACTTCCTCTATGCTTACCAAATTTTACAATAGTAAAATGCGAAAGCTTTCTTGTCAACTCACTCACTTGCCAGCTCCTTCACTTACAAGAAGGGTCTGTCATTATTTCTAGATAATATAATCTTTACTTCATTGAAAAAGTCCCTGACATGCATTCCCCTTTGTTCTTCTTCTACTACACCTGAATTACACTCAGATGGAATACTGGCCTGATACTCTAACAGCTCTTTGATCCGCAGAAATCAGCTAGGGTCAGTGCAGAATTTTCTAGCATGGAGGTTTCAAGCATTATCATCTGCTAGTATTTTGCAGATAAAGTTGATATTAAAGGAATGTGGAGGGGAAATTGTTTTTAAAAGTTGCCAACTCTCCATGGCACATGTGGCCTTTCTGCACTGCTGCTTCAGAATTCAGCCTGAATTTGCTAGGAATAGTGTTTGATCTGGGCATGCATGTCATTTACTTTTGTGCCTTCTTTATACCAGGGTGTCAGCAGATGTTGCTGGACTACAGCTTCCATCATCCCTGACCATTGGCAGTGTTGGCTGGGCCAGATGGGAGCAGGGAAACCAACAACCTGTGAGGGGCCAGAGGTTCTCCATCCCTGGTTTATATGGTCATTCGAGGCTCCTATCTCAACCAGAGCTTTTGAGGGACCTCTGCTTCTCTGCATGTTAACGAGAGAGGCTTTCTATGAACTGAGCTGTGTGTCAGTTAAATGCAGAATGTATACTGTAGAACAGAAAGCTATAAATGGCCGCAGGATGAGGCCTTGCTCACAGCTTCTCTCTCTCCCACCATAGGTGATCCAGGAGACAAGCGGTCTCTATCCAGATGGGCAAGGGGAAGGCAACCAGTATGTCCCAGACTCCCAGAGACTTAGCTATCCCAAGGTATGTTTTGTTGTTGTTTAGTCGTTTAGTTGTGTCCGACTCTTCGTGACCCCATGGACCAGAGCATGCCAGGCACTCCTGTCTTCCACTGCCTCCCGCAGTTTGGTCAAACCCATGCTGTTAGCCTAGAGAACACTGTCCAACCATCTCATCCTCTGTCGGCCCCTTCTCCTTGTGCCCTCCATCTTTCCCAACATCAGCGTCTTTTCCAGGGAGTCTTCTCTTCTCATGAGGTGGCCAAAGTATTGGAGCCTCAGGTATGTTTTATCTCTTAACAAAAGTGATGTTCAAAGAGCAGCTTAATTTTTTCCCTGTTGCATCAAATTATTTTAAGTTTTAAAAAAATACTTATGATTAATATACAGGAAGTCACTCCCACCATCAAAACAGGAATGTGGTTGAAACTTACGTTTGAAGAAAACCCAACAAACCACTTGTTTTCTGATTAAAGCATAACTGGCTCAGTGTCAAGCCATTTTTGCATTCTTTTAACATCAGCAATTCTTTTATAGCTACTTCCCCCCTCCCTCAAGTTTGTTTCAAGCATAAATCTATTTCTAGGAATCTTATAGATTTAATCCTGGCCAAATCCAAATGAAAGTATTACAGTGGTACCCCGCAAGACGAACGCCTCGCAAGACGGAAAACCCGCTAGACGAAAGGTTTTTCCGTTTTGGAGACGCTTCGCAAAACGAATTTCCCTATGGGCTTCCTTCGCAAGACGAAAGCCCATAGGGAAATCTCCGGGACAGGGCGTCTTGCCCACTGTCCTCGGACCTCCTCCCGCCGCCAGGCTTCGGAAGGCTGCTCTGAAGCCTGGCGGGGGCGGAGAGGTTTTTTAAAAACCCCGGGACAGCGGAGGACTTCTCCGCTGTCCGGGGCGATTTTAAAATGCTGCCGGGCGGCAGCGCTGCCGCCCAGCAGCATTTAAAAAAACCCGGGACAGCGGGGGACTTCTCCTTTGTCCCGAGGTTTTTTAAAATGCTGGCGGGCGGCAGCGAAGGCTTCGCTGCCGCCCGCCAGCATTTTAAATTCGCCCCGGACAGCGGAGAAGTCCCCCGCTGTCCCGAGGTTTTTTAAAATGCTGGCGTCTTCCCCTTTCTCCCCGGACCTCTTTTGAAGCAAGGGGCGGCAAAGGGGAGAAGCGCTGCGTTTCTCCGCTCTCCCGGGAGGGCTTTTAAAGGCAGGCAGGCAGGGGGGACAAAGATTTTCGCCCCCCGCCAGCCTTCAGAAGAGGTCCTGGACCTCTTCTGAAGGCTGGCGGGGGGTGAAAATCTTTGTCCCCCCGGCTGCCTTCCCGGCAGGGCTTTTAAATCGCCCGGGACAGCGGAGAAGTCCTCCGCTGTCCGGGGCGATTTTAAAATGCTGCCGTGGGGGGGGGAGCAAAGACTTTTGCCCCCCCCCAGCCTTCAGAAGAGGTCGGGGGACAGATTGTCCCCGGACCTGGTCTGAAGTCGGTTTCCATAGGAACGCATTAATTGATTTTCAATGCATTCCTATGGGAAACCGTGCATCGCAAGACGAAAAACTCGCAAGAAGAAAAAACTTGCGGAACGAATTAATTTCGTCTTGCGAGGCACCACTGTATTTAAATAAGGCTAGAATTTTAGATATCCCCAAAGCATCAGGTAAAATGAGAACTTATTTGTAGACTGACTGTTCCAGAGTTTCAAGCTCTAATGATTTACTGAGCACAAAATTAAAGTCATCAAGCACTGGGCCTGATCCAGATAAATTAGGGGTGGGGAAATTGTGACTTAAGAAGAGCCTGCTGAACAGGCCAATGGCTCACCTAGCCCAGCCTTCTGTTTCTCACAGCTTGCCACAATGTAAATGAACATGTGTTGATGATGTACAACTGAGACAGGAGCTATATATGCGAACGTAAACCACAAAGAAACATTCACAGCTAGAAAGCTTCACAGCATATGGCAATGAGGACGAAAAATAAAACCCTCGTGTATAATTTTATTTTTTGAGTTGGCACAAATATGGTTGCCTGAATTTACTTCAAAAAGCTTTAAAGAAAACACCAGGAGCCGTTATGAATAAGGAAGACTGTGTCCAACCAGAGCAACTACACGCAGCAAAACAAAGGGGTTCTCCCTAGAGCTAGCGGAGCCTTTGTAGCATCCATCTTTATGGGCCAAATGTTGTCCCCTGTGGAATAATCTTGTTTGTGAATGAGTCTTCGTTTCCTCAGCTATGGATATGTGCCTACATTCATGTTTTGTTTTGTAGCATCCCTAGTTTCTGACATTATTTAGGCAACCCCTAATTTTCACAAATGCAAAGGGGTTTTCTCATTGGAGAGAGCAGCATTTCAGCCATTACTATGCTGCTGCTCTATCACTGGTGCTGTGGACCTCATCCCTGCTTCTTGTCTGCAGGTGGAGACGTCTGAGAGGTACTCAGTGGCATCAGAAAGCGGAAGCAGCACTGATGGTCACACAGAACTGACAGAAACCAAAGACGGTAATAGCCGTTCAAAAAAGATAATGTGGTTGTCGAGTGAAAAGAAGATGGAATAGTGCACTTGCCTCTGATAAGTCAAACTGAGCTTGCCGGTTGCCTGGTTGTTATTGAATTGACTTGAGCCTTCCTACACATGACATATGAATGGCCCCCACTTGTCCCATCCATAAACAACATACTATATGGTTGTAGCTTAATAGCCTGCTGCGTTCGTACCTCTATTCATGGAGAGCCAGGAATCTCCAGGGACTGAGATGAGAACAGCATTGTGGTACTCTGCCCCTTTTTTGTTTCCACCAGTAGTTGTAGAAGGGAGTTAATGCCTGGCTCATTAAAGTAACACGTTTATTCATAACTGATGTGGGTCATGTAAGTGTACATTATTAATGCTGCCGCTTATATGAGTCTCTTCTTAAATTGCACCAAGCGAGATTCCGCACACAAACATCAGATGCAAATTGTGTGTAATGTGTCTCCTGGCCATTGCATTAGATATTCAGAAGTACAGCTTTGTATATGGCTTGTTTATTCCTTCTTATTTATTTATCTTTAGTTAAGAAGAAGGGCACGTCTGGTTTAAAACTGAGCAACCTGATGAACCTTGGGAGGAAGAAATCTGCCACGCTGGACAGTCCGGAAAGGTCTTTGGATACATGTAGTAAGCAACCCAAACAAAGCCTTGTGAAACATTTACATTTCATTTGGGTCTCTGCGACTAGCTGGAAAGACCAGCGTAGAGGGTGACCTAGATGTCACTAAGGGAGAGTCTCCTTCTTTGCAGCGTACCTGAATGTCCTTGTGAACAGCCAGTGGAGATCTCGGTGGTGCCATGTGAAAGATGGGCAGCTCCATTTCTACCAGGACAAGAACAGAAATAAAACTGCTCAGCAGCCTCTCAACCTGACGGGCTGTGAAATTATCCCAGACCCAACTCCTGATCATCTCTACTCATTCCGTATCCTGCATAATGGAGAGGAACGGGCCATGTTAGAGGTACGGGTTGCCACTTTCTCTAGAAGTAGGAGTGACATTTGTTTATGAGCAACACAGTTACTCATTGCAACTTATTACAGTGCACACAATTGAATGGTTCAGTCTAGGGAACATAGCTATTGGTGTAGATTTATCTTCTCTTATGTACATAGCCTGTTTGGGGTAATCTGCCACATTCCTGAAGCTGATTTCATTGAGGAGTGTGGAAATATAAGAGAGAGACCTTCCTGCTCCCAATAAGTAAATGTATTGATTTTCTTCACTTTTATTAAAAAAAACCCCCATGTAAATTGCTTATAGACTTCATTCAACACTTCTCCTTACAGCATTATAACCTACTTCACATGTCATGCTAAACCAAGGCTCACTGCAGGCTGCTCGTATATGTTGTCATAAACCATGGTTTAGTGTGACACCTGAATGCAGCCAGTTTGAACAAAATGCTATGCAAAAAGATGTTAAACAGCTAACCAGGCAGCTTATTTTTATTAAATGAACAGACGTCTATTCATCCAAAGAAACACTCAAGGCAGGAAAGCAGCACTTACTTGTCAGAATAGTAAGTGAATACTGAATCCCCACCCCGCCCTCTGATTGGAATATTGTACACCTGAAATGTTTTCTGAAATAAGCAGCCAGCTGGATTCAGTATCAGTTGATAAGGGTAGTTGGTTTTCACCACTGAAACGAAAGATAAGTTTAAGACTGGTGAAGACAAACACACACAGCGTAACTTCCTTGGAGTTGCACCAGTCACCTCAGCCGACAAGCTGCCTTGGGGAAAAAGAGCAAGCCACTCCTATCCGTAACTTTCACTTGACTTGGATCAGAGTTGTTTTCCTTCTCTGTTTACCTCTAATCTTAGATTCTCTGACATCAGCACCCTTAGAGTGGGAGAAGGGAAATGTGACACATTTCCTGCATTTTGTAGTGGGAGGAATACTTGCTACCAACAACAGGCTCACTTGCCAGCAACTGCCAAAGGCTCTGGATGTTGTTTTGTTTAGCACTTAAGATTGCTGAGGTTGATGGAACAAAATAAGGAAGGCTTCAAAAAGTTACTCAGATTATCTCCATTTGTGAAGCTAAGGTGCATGTTAGACTCAGCATTTTAGTTAAGGCCAGCTGGAGGTTATAAATAATTTTTCGTGGGTCTTTCAGGGTGATTGCAGGGTGCTTTCACCATTCACGATGAAAGTTTTAATCATAATTGCTTCTGAGCCAATTTGGTAGAGGAACTTTAGGAAGGTAAACTGGTGCCCTCTTCTGGCTTTGTGTGTTTATAATTTTTTTGTGTGTGTGTGTGTGTGTGTGTGTGTGTATTTGCATACACACACACACACACACACAATTTTTTTAAGACAGTTGAAGATGTTTTTAGATATTACGATGCATGGAATTTTATTTATTTACTCACATTTCTATCCTGCTCTTCTTCCTCAAGGAGCCCAGGGTGGCACATCCTAAAATTGATTTTTCTTTCCATTATTTCTGCTTACTCTGATGAAAGCAACTTAGGCTTCTTGTAGTAAGTTTGGCCTGTATCCTTAATGATTGTTTTTTTTCTTTGGTGGTTTAACAGGCCAAGTCTTGTGATGAAATGGGCCACTGGCTTGGTCTCCTTTTGTCAGAATCTGGCTCAAAAACAGACCCTGAAGAGCTGACCTATGATTATGTCGATGCTGACAGGGTCTCCTGCATCGTCAGTGCAGCAAAGAATTCATTACTGTAAGTTTCTGTGGTAGCATATTTGATATTCTGACCTGTCTTCTGATGGTAGTTCCTACCAAACAAGTAGCTTTTATCCGAAAAGTATGTAATGAACAATTTTGACGAGGTTACAATTGCTAGCGAAAAGAAGCAGGAAAGGGTTCTGATATGTAAATACCCACCACGTTTGCATTCAAATGAAGTATCCATACATGAGATTGTTGTGAAATATTGCATTGATGGTGATTAGCTCTCCTTATTTTCTGATGTGGTAATTGTGTGCAGTCTAGCAAATCTCTGCTTTTCTTTGAACTCCTAGCTGAATGTTTAAGACATGCAGCACACACACACACAATGTTGCTTATGGCTTGATGAAACCTCTGCATTGTCCTGTGTTAGAGAATGAGTATATTCCAGGCATTTAACATATTCAGTCTCAAACAAAAGGGGAGGTTACACTGTGGTTAGTGGCTTCTTCACATTGCAGACCTGTGGATGCTGGAGACAAGATAGTAGGCAGGAGCAACAGGTGCCTTGCAACATCCAGTGGATGGCAATCAACTAACTTTTACTCAGAGTAGACCCATTGAAATTAATGGATTTGCTCTCAGTAAATGTTAGTTGACTACTACCCAAAGTAACTGGCATATTAGGAAGTCTTATGGGAGCGTAGACTAATATCACATCATCGTCTCGTGCACCTTTTACTTCTTTTGATAGCACATCTGCTTCTGTCTTTTCCAGCTTAATGCAGAGGAAGTACTCTGAGCCGAACACTTACATTGACAACTTGCCAAAGGGGAAGGAGGGACTAGAGGAGCTCTATGATGATGTAGATGTTCCAGAGGCAACAACAATGGTGAGGGTTTTGTTTTGTTGCAATTACAGCTTACGTTGATGGGGGGGGGGCATTTTGTTTTCCATTGGCTGCAGTTTATATTGATAATGCCGGAAATAACAAGTGATCCCAATTGCAAGGTGTCTGCAATTTGCCTTGTTTCAGGTCTGTACTGTTCTTTAACTGTAGGTAATGTTTAAAGAATTTCATGCTGGCCTCTCTTGTTCTAAACAGAGTGGCATTTCTCGGGCGCTCTTCTAAGAAGATGCTTTTTATCTTTGACAGGAGGAAGTGCCCCAAAATGAAGGCAAAGATGAGGGGGATCAGGACAGAGTCTATCTAGACCTCACGCCAGTCAAATCCTTCCTTCATTGTGCTACCAAGAAGCAGGACCAGTTTTCCCCATCCGTTTCTCCATCATTGCAAAGAGCTTCCAGTAAGAGCTCAACAGACTCTGAGAGAGACTCCTCCATATTGCATAAAGAAGCAGATTTGAGTAGAAGATCACTGGAGATGCCAGACCCGGTAATGCTCAAAACTAATAATAATAATAATAATAATAATAATAATAATAATAATAATATATCTTTATTGTCATTACCCCCTCTCGGGGACAACGAAATTACTTGACTGCTCCATAAAAACACTAATTAAAACAATACAGTATAATACAGCAAGGAAGATTAGATGACTTTCAAAGTCCAGGCTTCCCATTCAGGGCTGAGATCGCTCTGGAGAAGAAGCTGTTCTTAAGACGGCTCGTTCTTGTCTTCATCGTCTTGTATCTCTGTCCCGACGGCAGGAGCTCGAAGAGACAGTGACCAGGATGCGATGGATCTTTTACTATGTCCAGTGCCTTCCTATGGCACCTTGTGGCATAAATCTGCTCTAAGGTGGAGAGTGGGCAGCCAACAATGCTCTCTGCTGCCTTAACAACTCTGCACAACCCCATCCTGTCCTGGGTAGTACAGCTTCCGTACCACACACATAAGCCATAAGTGAGCACGCTCTCAATGGCACAGTGATAGAAGGCAAGCAGCAGTTTCTGCGGAAGATGGTTTTTCCTTAGAATTCTCAAAAAGTACAGTCTCTGCTGCGCCTTCTTCACAAGCCCCCGAGATATCAAGGAGGGGCCATAGCTCAGTGGTAGAGTATCACATGCAGATGACCGCGGGTTCAATCCCCACCATCTCTAGTTAATTTTTATAATTTTTATTATTTATTATATAACTAGACAAAACTTAGCATTGAGCAGCTTGCGGGGATCTTAAATGGACAGCCAGCTTCTGCTAGCCTTCTGTGTCGCTTAACCTCTGAAACATTCTCTCTCATCCGACTTCCCTAACAGAGGACTCAAGACATTGATGAGCCGCTCCCACCACGAACAACAACCATCAAAATTCAGGCACAACAGCAGCAAATTGCTTTTCCTCAGAGTGGCCCTGAGATTAAGGACACCACAACAATTATGATTGCATCCAAAGAGAAAATGGAACGCTCCAAGGCGGTGAATTCAGGTGTGTTTGCTGTCTGCAGTAATCTCTCTTTACCCAAGAGCTTCATGACGGAGACTTATGGTAGAGGCCGTGCCTGCCATCGTTAGCTTTCCAACCCATGTTGAAAACATGGCGCTAGTGTATTTAGCTGCTGGTTTTAAGGGAAGGTTCTTGGAATTCCAGTCTCTGTCCCTGAGCCTAATTTCTTCATCTTTTATTTGTAGCAGCTGTAGAAACCAAACTCGGCAAGAACAGGACTGAGGCTGAAGTGAAGCGATACTCCGAAGAAAGAGATCGCTTGGAGAGGGAAAAAGAAGAAATCCGCTCTCAGCTGGCACAGCTACGGAAAGATAGAAGGGAGCTGAAAGAGATGCTGATAAGCTGCACAGGTAAACAAATGCCTCTCATTTCCACTTCATTTTCATAGATCAGTGGAACGGGGCATATTGTTTTGGTCTCATGTGCTCCATTGACATGTAATCTGCTCTGAAAAGCCTCCACTTTGGGGGGGGGAGGGCTAGTTCAGCAGCCACCCTCTTGCCTGCCACCGAGAAGACAGACAGGCAATGGGGAAGGATGCACACTGCCCATCTGCTGTTAGATTTCCACTTGCATGTGCTTCTTTCCTCGGCAGACAAGAGCCTTTTGCCCACACTGGAGCAAAAACTGAAGGAAATAGAGGAGGAGTGCAAAAGGAAAGAAGATCAGCGCGTGGACTTGGAGCTGAGCCTCATGGAGGTGAAGGAGAATCTCCGGAAAGCAGAGTCTGGGCCTGTAACACTTGGCACTGCGGTGGACACCACACACCTGGAGAACGCAAGCCCTAAAGTACGTAGGGGGCTGTTTATAATCAGCACCGTTAGCAGGGTCTTTTTCAGCAAAGGGAAGTAGCTGAAGCCAGCAGCTGGTTCAAAGTACGCATGATGCAGAAGATCCATGATTGCATTTTTGATGTGTTTTGTAAAGCTCAAAAGGCAATTTGGTGGGTGGGCAGGGGGCTCAAAATAGCAGCACTGAGGAAGGAGGGGCTTAATGCTTTTCTCCCACACTATTTTCCTAGCCAGAATTTCACATGACCACCCTTGGAGGCTGGTAATAGCAATATGGATGCCTGTGTCTCCCAACAGCTAGGCCTAAATAGCATGTGGGGTTGGCTGATACCTCAGTCATGATACCCCAAGGAGCCATATTGTCACGGAGCCATAGATCCAATTACAGCACGGATGAGGAACGTTGTTCAGTTTGAGAAATACACCTAGACTTACAGATTGCCAATAGCTATGAGTTTTATGCATTGCCATCAGGAGTGGCTGCCGAGCCCCTCTCGTCACTGCCACTTCCTGCAACAGTCTTTGGGTGGAGCCAGTTGTCAGCACAGTCAGGGCTGTGTGGGTTGCCCTTGGTGGGTGCGCCAGATTGCCTTTGCCAGAGCACCCCATGGAGTTCTGACCTTGCCACTGCTCTGCCCTCTGGTATGCAGCAGTGCTGGAGTTGGGAGGGTGGCTTATAAATGTAGCACCTCATTGGCCGTTCTTGATAGCAACAGATAAAGCAACATAATTAAAACCCAAAGCATAAAGTCAATAAACAGCACCCAGAGGTAGATCTAATAAGCCATTAATAAACAGCACTTTTATTGCCGATGCTTTGTGATTATGGAATATGAGATCTTTAATGTTTGGCAAGAAGGGCTCTCTGACCTGTGCCTGATGAACTATTTTAGACAATTGTGTATGACCACAGCTATTATCTTTCCCCCATAAACACAGATGAAGGTTGCCAACCCTCTGAATGGCACAGAAAACTCGCCTGTCAATTCAGCAATGGCACTAAAAAACCGGCCTTTATCTGTCATGGTCACAGGGAAAGGAACAGTTCTACAGAAAGCTAAGGTAAGACATGTAGCAAGAATGCATGCAGTGCTTATTATGGCAATAATAATTTGCCCATGGCCTATGGCATATTTAAAACTATTGGTGTTTTGGAAAGAAATATATAAAGATAAGGATAAGCCTTCAAGTGGGGCCTATTTTTCCATTTTTGTTTTGCAGGAATGGGAGAAGAAAGGTGCTAGTTAGGAAATCCTAGCACCAATATTGGACTCAATATTAGAAGTGGCCATTCGTGGACTACAGGATTCTCTTGCAAGTACAGAATGGTCTAGATGAGGTAAAGCATGGCCAGCTGTACACCAAGAAATAATGGATGGACCAGGGTCATAACCCAACATGGCCTTCCATCAGACTAAGGAATTTGCTCCTTTTTTTAGCAGAGGAGTGCTGTGCAGCTGAGAGAGTTAACCCAAGTGGAAACCTTGCTTCTAACCTGGCCAATGTACATAATGATGCCTTTGTTTATTTCTACTTTGGTGTTTTACTGTTGTCCAATCCAGGATTTGTTGTTAGCAATAGAACAGCAAGGACTGAATTCTTGCCAGATCTGTTTAATGTTCTTCTGATACACCAGGGCCTGGGGATCACGGAGGTAAATTCAGTTTCCTGAGCTAAAATCCTGAAAGCTGGTTAAGTAAATACAAGTCTCTGTGTCAGACTTTTCTGTTGGAGAAGAGCTGCTCCAACCAACGGAGACAATTTTGGCCAGGGAGACCAAGAGACACAGCTAAAAGGTATGCAGCCTGACTTTCCACAAAGAATTCCTGACCAAAAAACGAGTACAGCTCAGTGGAGGCTCGGCAAATGGGGCAGTGTCCCACCAACCCTTAGCCAGTTCCCACCCACCTGCCTGCCTTCTTACTCACAACCAGTCCAGGACTGGCACTGGCTGGGAACATTCTCCTCCTTGGCCTCAGTTCTGCCCTTGTAGCACTCAGGAGGATGGGGACAAAACTTAAAATTAGTTGGCTATGTCTTTCATTGGCTCTGGCGCCACCTACTGTTGGCCTCCCATCCAACTAGTCCCAGTGGGTGACAACCACTGCTACAGTTTCTTAATTTTCAATGTTTAATGCTTGTACAAGGAGAGCCAGGGCTTTTTTTCAGCCGGAACTCAGTTCCAGCACCTCTCAGGTGGGTACCATTGCCAATAAAAGAACAAAGGGAGGCGTTCTTGGTGAGTTCCGGCATCTCTTTTTCTAGAAAAATAGCACTGAGAAGAGCTATTATCAGTTGTCGGCACAAGAGCAATGCACTGGGTTCACAGGTGACTAGACATTCCAATACCCACAGACAACTCCTGTGATTAAGAAGGGCTTTCCAGTGGGCATAAGTAGCAGAGATATCTCATTATGACTAAGGATCTACACTAAATGCTATAGATTAGAGGCTGTGGATGGGAAGTTAAATCTTTGTGGATTGGGGCCAGAAAGTCATTTAACGTAATTCTTTAGCCACTGCATCTGTCATTTGAGGAATAAAGGGGTGGAATCTTCTGTCCTAGCTTCCAAAATGTGATTAAGCATGATGGTGTGGGGTGATTTGAATGCACTTTAGTTACTCTGGAATGCTTCAGGTTAATAATACACACGTAATAGTAGCGTGTAGGAACAGATGCCACATCATTATATTCTGCACAATAGTTTAAGTGCACAAAAGCAAAGGAGAATTTGTTTACCCAAGTATGGTGAATTTAATATCATCCAAACATTTGGAAGAGTGGGGAATTCCACCCCTTTACCCTTGAACATATTCTTATCATTCTGTTTTCTGTAAACAAAAGTATAATTAGACCAAGGTAGAACTTGACTGAGCTGTGTTTCCCAAACCCAAGGAGATTAAATTATGTATATATGGCAGAGTTAGGTGTGGACTCTGTGCCAAAAATGTCAGGTTCCTTAATTTTAACCTTGAACATGAATAATTTTTCAAAGCTAGCTGTATACAAAGGAAAGAAATTTTTATTAAATTGTTTGTGCTAACACAGTACTAAATGCTGTAAAGACCACAGGTGCTTGAGCTCTGTAGTCTCGCCATCCAAGGGCCTTTTCAGAGGAACATTTTCTTGTGCAATAAATGTGCACTCCTGCTGGTCAGTCGCTGCAGGATCTCCAAACATCTTTCCCCAAACTACCAAGTTTATTATGGCAAAACAGCTTTCCCCCCTCAGCAGTAGAAGCGATATTTGCCCCTGGGGAAATACTGATAACATCCGGGCAGTGTACAGCAGCTGGTGTACTTTGATTTAATTAACTGCTGTGACTTCTAGGCATTGAGTGACTCCTGCTCTACTACTTCACTGGGACTTCTCTTTTTGCTCCAGAAATAGGTGGTGGGGTGGAAAGGAATATTCACGCAGGATTTTTCATCCCACACCAGTCTTCTGCCATTTGTAAACCATCTCTTTCAGCCAAAATGGCTTGAGTCAAGCATGTGCCTAAGCAGGTACCCTGACAATCAATAAGAATTTGCTGTTTAACCACGTTTGCTTTCTTAGTATATATACCCCATTGACTTTGTACCTGGTCAGCATCCATAAGATTGTAGTCTTAGAAGTACTTAATGCTGGCTGGATCATTGGGGCATCAGTTGGAAAGGCCAGAAACTCACAAGGTGGGCACAAACCCTAGATGTGAATATACATTTTTTGAGGGGAAAACAATCTCCAGGGGTTACTTCATATCAAGGGAGAACAGTTTTAAGTTTGCAGACATATATCATTTAAGCTAAAAAGCCACCTGTGTAATGTAATCGCTGTGTATTTTTTTAAAAAACCAGGCTTTTTAAAACCACAGTACAAGCATATCCACTATCCACAGGTTACAGGCCCGTCTGAAAGAGCTACACCATGTGTGCCACCATTCTGAAAGCAACAGGTATTTTACCATTTGTTGTACAAGTAGCATCCACAGTTCTTGAAGTAAATTGACCCTAGGAATTAATTGTGCCATTTTAAATGTCTTGTGGCGTCTGTACTGCATTTGTCTCTCTTTGCTGGTGCAAGTGTTAAGATGGGGGGAATAAGGGCAGGGAAGAGGCAGAGGGGCCAATAAAGTTTTGGTCCTCAGGTGCCACGACAAACTGGAAGCATCAAGGGGGAAGGTGCCAGAGGTGTATCCATTGACTCTTTCACCCCAGCATCTGTGCCGCAGATCTCATCCTGACACACAGTGCTGTGTTTCCTCCTCCTCAACACTGTAGCTGATAGTGGTGGGGGGTCAGGGACACAAAAAGTCAATATGTAAAGCAGGCAGTTTCAGACCCAAAGCGTTCATTTAACTCACCATAGAATGAAGTTGTTACTGTGTTCCTAGCTAAAAATAATACTTTCTATTTGTTGTACATGTGTCTTTTCAATCCATTGCTATTTTAGAAAAGTTTTTTTAATAAAGAAAAAGGTTGGCTATAATTTAAGCGTGCGTGTAAAAATCATTACATAGTCGAAAAAACAAGAGAGAGAAAACCAAGCAGTGTCTATTTATAAACTTTGCAGGCCCAGATAGAGCCAAACCTTTCTGCTGTGTGGGCAAGGAGGGTATATTAACATAATCCAAAACTCTCTTTGATGAAAATAAATATTCTCTGGGAGTTCAAAACGGAGAGTGGAATAACGCCCTTTTGTCCACCGGGGGGCCCTCTTAGAATGGAAAGTAAGTAGAAGCTGCTGCTGCTGCTGCTGCTGCTGCTGTTGGGCCTTTCTACACAAGTTTTATCTTTTACAGAAATTCTCCCTTGATAAAAAAACACACACAAAAAAACCACACTTCTCATCCGGCTTGATCGGTTAAGAGAAAATTGCACAAACTCTTCTGATTACAAAACTCCAGCAGAGAAGCAAACTTTAGTGTCCATTTGCGGCTATGAAGAAACATCAAGCCTCCTTGCAATCAGTGTTGCATGCTGTACATGCTGGGGAAAAGGAACTGTTGCAACTGAAGGCTGAGCGCTGGAATGTCTTATGACTCCCAAGATGGGCAAAACTGGGTGCAGATGCTGCCTCAGATTTTCACCTTGTTCTAAATATTTTTGGGTGCCTACTGTTTCAACATTTTAGATAGGTTTGCTAGTGATGGATGCAATCTTGGCACTCTGAAATTTACTCTTTATTTTCAACCATTTTGACTTTCCTATCTGCCTCAATAGGAGAGCCAATATAATCAAAATGGGTGGATGCCCAGCCTTAGAGTAGATCTAATGAAATAAATGGATTTTAGCCTGCTGATTTCAGTGGGTCTACTCATACTGCATAAACTTTTTTAAAAAGGTATAATAAAAACACAAAACAACACTACAGTGCAGGAAGGTTGGAATGGCGTATACAGGGGCACTGGGAGCAGAGTGGTGAAACTTGTCTTCGTACCTTGTTTGAATAGCTCAGCTGTGTCTATATTCCCTCTGCTCAGCTGTCCCAATATCTGCAGATAAACAAAAATACATTCCAAGAACTGAAAGCTACCCCTGCACTAGAGAACGAAACCTACTTCAGAAACCTTACATGTTTATATCCTTAACACAGATACAATGTGGTAGGGCTGCAACTGCCAAAACTAAGAGCACTGCTTCAGCGAGATAAATAGAAAACTGATATGGATTTGGTGTTATAACAAAAAACCCTCAATCCAGTAGATTCAACAGTTCAAAACAGCTTTATACCCATCTTAACCTCATACGCAACTCCTGTTATTACTCATCAGCATTTTCCCAAGTTATTTTTCACATTATGTTACTGCACGATGGAATGGCATAACTAAATGAAGCTGGTGCAGAAAGTCAGATGCTTATTAAATATTGCAACAGGTGAGCTGCTGATGTGGTGCTTTAGAACTGCAAAATGCTTGTCAGGCCCAATTTAACAAGTTTCCTTCCCACAGACAGAAGATGCAGAGAGAAAAACAAACAACATACAGAGGACAACACAGAAAAGAATCGAGCATGGCACATGTACTGGGTGTTGGTTGTACCACAAGTGATGTACAACCAGTAACCAGAGCTAGCCAACAGATTGCTTTTGCAAGCACAGGTTGCATTCTGCAAAGGAAGCCATTCCTAATAAAGTGATGAGGTGGTGCCTGTTTTTCTAAATAGCTGCACACTGCTTAGTCAAACTGACAGAATTTGTTGCAAAAGGATTCTTGCAGCCAGTGGATTGGGAAGCTGGAAAATTGATTAGAAAAATTAATTGGAGAAAATGAGCCACCCTCATTTCCTCCACCTCAATCCAGGGGCAGATGGCAATTTAGCTGTGAGTGGACTTCATTCTGAGTTGGGATGTCAGACACAGAAGGGAAGTGCCTTTGGAGGGGGCTTCGCTGTGGAGATCCAATGGGGGAGCAGTGGACTTTGGCTATATATTAGAGTTTAAGGCTTAAACTTAAACTATCATATTTTTATAACCTGCATATTTGTAAATAAATTCAAATAATTAAAAGAAGGCATAAGCCTCCAGTGACCTCCTTCCCAAGGAAACCAAACCCAAGTAAGCACTGCATGCCTGGGACTTCTCGGTGGTCAGGGAAATTCAGGCGTGTGTAAACAATATAAATCAAACCTTAGTCATTTTGCTGGTTTGATCTGAACTTTAAAATGGTACCAACTTTCCCAAGAATGTCCAATCCAGTACAGAAACCGAAATCTTCAGAGCTATGGAACTCACCATACAGAAGAGATGCTGACCGTAAATGGTGAAAGTGTCAGTACAGCAACAATAAATATCTAATATCAACACAAACTAGATATTGGTCACCTCATTTGGCGTACCAGGAAGTGATTCTGTGCAAAACTCCTGTGCTTTGAGGAACAGCATTATTGCTTGCAAACGTTGACTGTGTTCAGTTCTTTCATACAATGTTTTCAGTAGCTGAAGATAGTCAGTGAGTCTCTGGAATTTGCCTTTTGGAATGCTTGCGAGATCGATACAGCTGTCGCCAGCTGCGTCGGTTTTGTGGAGCACGGACCATGGCTGGATGCATCTGTGAAGTGTCACCCCTCTGAATTCCTATATTAAAAATAAAGAATGATTGTTTCCCAAAGCAAACAGTAAAATATGGTTTTCCTACATACAAAAATGAAACATGACTTTTAAATGAAGCCTTTTCATTTTTCCAACATGTTGAAATGAGGCCTACAAATGAGTCTGTAGGTGTGTAGTGAAGTTGCTTCATTTAGTCCATTGACAACCTAGCAGGGAGCGAAAAGATCAACTTCAGCTATATATCAGTTAACTCTTTCATCATTAAGACTATCCATATTATGGCTCCTCCCAACACCCAAAGATTTCACAAGTATATTTTCCAATGAGGTAAGGTCTTGTTTGCACTACCGATTATTAAGGTTTCTTCAGCAATCAAGTTCCATTTATCATGCTTCTGGCAATTTAGTAATACAACGCAGGGAATATTGCAAGGGGTAAGTTATGAGATCAAAAAGGAATCCCAGAAAACAATGACGTTTTTACAGATAAAGATATGTGGGAGTGGAAGCAAATATGTGAGTACTCTTCTCTTTTGGTATTTAGTCTCAAGCATCCTAAAGGATGTCAGGAGCACCTTGACTGGTGGATGTGATCTGCTTTGTGAGGCTGGTGTCACCTGTGCAGCAACAACCTCATAGGAAGACAATTGTAGGCCTCCACCTATGCTTCCTGATCCTTCCAAATAGGTCAATGCAGAAAAGAGGCATTGCACATGCAGAGCGCCTCTTGTTCAGCAAAACAAATACAGTGCGCACTACATGCTAGGTTGTTCTGCTTTTGCTGTAACAAGCTGACTCTTTTGGAATGAGATCCAACAAGATCTTAGTGAAAGAGTGTGCCAATTAAACCTAAGAAATATATGGGTTTAAGAAGATTGCAGTGAGTCATTTAAGATTAGTATTTGTGAAGAGAACAAGCCAAAAGTACATTTACCAGTCAACCGTAAAATTTGATACTATGAAGCTTATTTAATTTCCCCACCCTCCCTTTTTCAGCATACTTTTAGGAATGTGTTCTAAATGGAAATGAATTGACTTTATCTGGGGCAAAGGTACGGAGCAAGTAGATTCTTCAGGGATCATTTGTTTCAGATGGGGGCAATAAATGTAAATGAGGGAGGAGGCCTAAATGCCTTTTGCCTACTGTACTTTGATGCTTACTGTTTTCACAGTGAGGTCCTACCCAACCTTGGCACCGACACCAGTAGCTGCCATTTCCAGAAACACAAACTCCATCATTCATGCAGGGGTTGGGTTTGCAGAGGTTTGCTGGCTTCTTGGCCTCTGCAACAGACAAAAGAAAACAACAGATCATGTTGACTGGCAGGCACAAGAAGAAAGAAAAGAAATCAAAGCTTTCTTAATGCCGCAACATCCCAGTTGTTCTGTGGAGATGGAAATCAGTGAACACATCTCCTGGTATTGCAGAAACGCCTTACAGCCTTAGAAGAGGGAAAGTCTCACACCTAGGACAAAGCTATACATTGAGTGCATTACTTAAATTTTACACAGCCCAAATCGCAGCTGAAACTTTTTTGTTGGAATCAGGGATGCCAGCGTCCTGCTCCAGAACTTTCTATAGACCCTCCTCAACTCACAATTACTGTTCCTGGTCCCCATTTGTGCCATCACATGCCCTTCCTTCACACACAGGATCTGACAGTACATCACCTTACCAATCATTAAATAAATGGCTAAGCTGCAGCTGTTCAAAGACTACAAGTTCAGTTTCATCTTGAGTTGTTTTGTAAACAAAGCACACTAGCCCGTGAAAGACCAGTTGGTCCTTTTGCCATTTACCACAAGCAATCCCTGTTTGATGTGTTAAGAATACACACTAATCTTGGATGAACAATGGCTTAAAAGGTGAAACAGATAATCAGACACATGGCAAATACTGATTTGAAGATGGTTTAAACTAAACACGAAGGGGAAGAAGTGTTTAATGTGGCTTCTTTTCAACTTCAAAGAAAGGGGGGGTTAGGCATATGTGGTTGATAGGTAGTGCTGAAGCATAGATCTTACTTTTCTTCTTCTTTTTCTCAGAAGTATGTTTACATCAGAAAAGGTAGCGCTGAAATCAATTGGCATTTCAAATTCAAGAACTAAATATGGCTCAAGTTTGGAAATGTCCAAACTAGCGCTGCAATTTTATTGCACTGATATTTCAAGTAATGTACTTTACTGGTACTTGATATGTACAATGCACTTCTAATTCAATGTAAATTGATATTTAGCCAGCCCCTTCGGACACTTGATATTGGTGATAAGCCAAGAAACAAATGTGAATTCTAAAAAATAATAATATATGATTTATTATGATAGAAGTGACAAGCCTGTAGTCCTTCCAGATGTTAAGACTCCAACTCCCATCACCCTGAACCATCACAAATTGAATACGGGGAGCTGTAGTCCAATAACATCTGGAAGGTTGCAGGT